TCCAGAATTTACTCGAAACGAAGTCATTTAGAATGTTTTTAGAGCATAAACAGTAGTGTATAGGACTTCCTGAAAGCCCGCACATGTGCGTTCACGACGCTACGGAAGCCGGCAGACCAAACCAGCGCATTCAGCTCGGCAAAGAACTCATGCTCTTCCTCAACACAGACATTTTTCTTTCGTTGTTTCTTTCTTTGCACAGGTAAACAGCACATTTCTTCTTCTACGCTTGCATTATTGGCAGAGCAGACGCTGAATGCGCACTTTCATCTGGTTTGGTCTGCCGGCTTCCGTAGCGTCGTGAACGCGCATGTGCGCGCTTTCAGGAAGTCCTATACACTACTGTTTATGCTCTAAAAACATTTTAAATGACTTTGTTTCGAGTAAATTCTGGATGCTACCCACTCAGGACACTTGGAATACATTGGACGAGCAGTATGGAGGAATATTTACACGTTTTTTGTGGACTTTTATGGACCTTTCTGTCTCGGGCGCCATAGCCCTCCATTATTTGAATGTCAGCAGACAGCAAGAAGCCTCCCAGATCTCCAGATGCATTTGAGATATCAAAAAAGTACTCCAGAGTGTTGTTCAGCATGGGGGTGAGTAGAAAATGAAGGCTAATCATGTTTTAGGTGTACTATTCCTTTAAGGCGACGGTTGTCGCAGTGTTTTCTTCCTCACATTTTGGCATAGAAACATAGGTCAAACAAGCAGTATTATTTAAAAACCTTGTTATGACATCAGCAAATGTATTATTTCATGTTATATATTATATACTTAATACTATACCATAGTGTCAATTATATATCTTTAATACATGAATCTATATTTATGTATAATTTGAAGGCTATAAAGTGCTGGAATTAAAAACAGACAATTATATTTGCCAAAAAATTACTGTCAAACCTTTTTTTTTTAAGTTTAATTACATTGACCTGATGTAAATGAAATATTACATATAGAATTGAATTTTTAAATTTGTATTTTTACCTTCACAAGAGTTTTTTTTGTGACCCAAGAGAATGAAAATGAAAAATAATAACTAATTAAAACTATTAAGTAATTAACTAATTAAATTCAAGGTGTTTTGAACTTTAGTAACCCCTCCAAATCTCTACCAGCATCACAGCAACAGCAGCAAGCATCGGTGCAGCTGGGATACCTCAAGCTGGACTCGTCACCATGGTGATTGTGTTAACATCCGTTGGGCTGCCCACTGATGACATCACCCTGATCATTGCAGTGGACTGGGCGCTGTAAGCCCTGCTTTTTTTATTTTTGGGGGGGGGGGGATTATTCTAAAGAAAGCAGTTGGATTTCTGTCTACCTGTCGCCTTGCTTCTCATCCAGTTTTCCTTTCGTCTCCCTCACAGAGACAGATTCAGAACGATGGTTAATGTTATGGGTGATGCTTTGGCCACAGGCATCATGGCCCACATCTGCAGGAAAGACTTCATGAAAGAAGGAGATGGGGTGTGTTCTCATTTATTTGTTCTGTAAAATCAATTTGTCTTTGTTTCATTCTGGCTTTCAAAATATTAATCAATGTACAGTATTTATTTGTTAGATCTTAAACGGCTTTATTTATTTAAATTAAATCAACACCAGCAAGGATTTCTAATAAACTCTTTACTGAATATTTATTTCAGATTTTCTTTTAAAGTGTCATTTATGATGATTGGACTTTTTATTACATTTAACTCCCCGAATGTGTTTTAATTAAAAAGGAAAAGGACTCAAAACTGAGGCTTAAATGCTGTTTTGAAAACTTTTCTCTATCTTCTGCCCACAGGTACCTCTGGTGTTCGAGGCGGAAATCCCAGTTAATAATCCGCCGACAATGAACTGCCACAACAACAATGGGAACGTTCGGCCTCCCTCCTCAGGAGTCAAACACAAGCTCATCCCTCCTGACGTGGCTCGACTAATGCAGCTGGAGGAAGGTGTTCCGCAGATTTCAGACAAAAAGAAACCCCCGATTCCTCCAAGATACCTGAAGAAGAGCAAAGAACACTGCACTATCGACCTGAATGGCCTTGAGAGCATCGTATAGCCTCCAAGATAAACCTGATGTGATATTTGTGTGTTTGGACTGATGGGTGCCCAGACGCTTGTCGGGGCGTCTTTATTTTCTTTATGTTCTGCAGTACCAAATCTGAACATCTACAGTATCTCACAAAAAGGAAGTACACCCCTCATGTTGTTGTAAATGTTTTATTATTTGACGACACAAAAGGCACGACATGTTAATTCAATGTAGAGTGTTTAGTTTGTATAACAGCGTAAAATTGCTGTCCTCTCAAAATAACTGCCAACAAAGTGAGTAAACCCCTGAGTGTAAAAAGGCAAAATTGCTCAAAATATTGCTCAACATTCTGTCTGACCCCTGTTAGTTTAGCTCCACGACAACATCACAGCGAAGTTGCACCAGGAAGTGCTTCACCACTTCCTGGTTCAGGATGCGCGTCAATTGGTTTAGGGTCTGGAAACATTGTTTTTCTGGCCATTTTGATTACCCTCAGCTTCTTAGAGTTGTGTTTTTGGGCCATTATAATGTTGGTTTACTGCTCAGTTGCCTAGTTTATAGGGAGGCAATCAGCTGGCAGACCTCATACGTTGCATCACATGCCAAGTCAAACTGAACAGCAGAAGAGAAAAATACATCTCAGAAAGTAGAAATACTGTTTATTTATCCATAAATAAAGGTGTATTCAGGTAAAGATGAGAAATTAAGTTAAAAAGAAAGAAAAAAATCACTGGCTGCTTTACAGAACTGTGGAAATGCATAAAAAACTGTTGGTTTATGCTTGACGCGTCATCTAAAATGGCATAATTTTTCAAAATTTAATTTGTAATTTTAGCAACCAACCCCCTCCGCATGGCCCGAATTACCCAAACCGCACACCTATCAACATTTTAACTACGCAACAGTCCCACATTAAAATATCACTGCTGTCAAATAATTGTACCAAATCCTTGGAAATAAATTAATGTCACTCTTTTATGACTCAAAGAAACATTCAAAGTTTGGAAATTACAGTTGTTTTGCTCCTGCATTTAGTATGTTGTTATGAGCTTTGATCCTGTGCTCTACACTGCCCTCTAGAGTCTAGTACCATCCATCCATTATCTGGCACGCTTGTCCCGAGTGGGGTGGCGAGGGGTGCTGGTGCCTATCTCCAGCAGTCAAGTGGCGGGGTCCACCCTGGACAGGTCACCAGTCCATCGCAGGGCAACACAGAGACACGCAGGACAAACAACCATTCACACTCACACCTAAGGACAATTTAGAGAAGCCAATTAACCTAACAGTCTTGTTTTTGGACTGTGGGAGGAAGCCGGAGTACCCAGAGAGAACCGACTTATGCTCAGGGAGAACATGCAAAAAGACCCTGGGTTGGGAATCGAACCCGAGAACTTCTTGCTGCAAGGCAGTAGTGCTACCCACTGCGCCATATTGGGTAAAGCAGGGAAAAGCCGCACGGGCTATAAAGGCTGGAACGCGCCAATGTCTGACTTGAAATGTTTTACCTATTGTTTGTCCATGTTCGCTCCGCTTTGCGGTTCAGAGATTTTACTTTGTACTTTCTTCAAATATGTTTTAGTTCATCATTCGTCTCTCTTCCTATATAACATAAGTCATTAAATATAACAAAACATTTGATGATGAGCAAATCATACAGAGTTCCCCTTAAATAAGCAGAATGATTGAGACACCCTGGCTTAGTTTTCACTCCTTTATACCCTAACACACCTCCACCAGATGCAACCAAAGATTGCAGTTTCCAGCATGCGCCTCCAGACCACAGCATGTCCATATGACATAAAATAAAGAACAGCTTCCATCTAACAGAGTACTCAAATAACATTTCAAACATCCAGATTTAACAAACCCAACCAAAATAGAGCAGAGGTGTAGCTCAGTTGGTGCGAGTCGTGTGTGGTCTGACCAGCCCCATGCATTTGAATAAGATGTAACTGCTGCTGATTCATATGATCCAATTTTTTGTCAGATCGGACTCTGAATTGTGCTTGGTGTGTTACATGCTGCAAACTCTGTTATATCAATGTTCAACATGTCTCATTGTGCAGCATTTCATTTTCTCCAGATCCCTAATGAATTTGTTTGTTTTTTTTGCCATAAAAAGACATTTTGACCTTCCAGCGCGTTTAGAGTGAGAGCTTGATGTGTGAAGTCAGGATTTTACCTAAAAGCCACATGCATGATAAATACTAATACAAGTACTTTTACTTAAAACACACACATTTCGAACATTTTATGCATGCAGATTCTCTACCATGCCAAGGCTCCCCTTTCATTCACACCTGTGAACATGTAAAAGCACCAAGTCACATGACACTGTGGAAGGAAAATGGCCAACTGCGTCCAATCTGTGTTGAGTTATTTTTAGGAGACAGCAAATTTACAATATATAAGCTTCACACTACTTTACGTTATCTTTAGTGTCGTCCCATGAAAAGATGTAATAAAGTATTTACAAGGTTATGAATGGTTTACTCACTTTTGTGTGACATCTATCTATATATCTATGAAATGTTTAAAAGTTAATGATGTTTTATAAACAAGACAGCATTAAATACAAATGACAAATATAACATAACTAAAGTCACAGATTATGTCATTTTTTCAAGATCAACGCCATAAAATCATGAAACTTGTGACTTTACTGGTTCTTTAGCATTTTTACTTGAAAATGTTCATTTTCAAACATGGATTACATTAATTAACATGAACATCACTTAATATTCAGGGAGCCCTGAAATCCAACATCTATTAAATATCCATGACATCCAAAAAATTTGACTTTTAGGAATAAAAAGTCTTTTAGGAATAAAAATGTACAGAAATAATGATGTGATAAAAATAAACAATACATAAACCCTGTGTTCCATCATCACCCAGTTCTCTCTGAAAAGGTATGTTTCTCAGAGAGTATACACAAAAAGGAAACATTTTTAAGCATTAACAGAATGTATTCCAGTCATTGTTAACAAAATCATTGATTTAAACAAAAATTGCAGAGGAAGATATCACCATCTTTGTCTCAGGCCTGCTTTCTTCTCAACCACAAGCTGAAGAATCATCAAAATGGCAAAGAGCTTCTACATTCTTTTCAGTTTATCCTAACCCTTTAAAGCCCGATCCAAGAAAAAAACAAAATAGAAAATTACTTTTTTTTTGGTTTGAATTCCTTAGTTGCCCTTTTAACAAAATATGTAAAAAGAAAAAGCAGAAATACATTTTTTATATTAATAATTTATTACTATGCGATAAGTCAAGATTATTTTTTGTGTCTTCCACATCACTAGAAATGTCTCCTGGTTCAGACGACGCTTTAAGAGGTGCTATAAAATCCCACAGAGCTGCTCTGCACTAGAGAGTGACATTTTTTCGGGAATCCCACGGGTCACGGGATTCCCGTGGGATGGGAGTCAGTATTAGTAACGATCACGTGATTGGGACGGTACAGGATTAAACATTAACGGGAGCAGACGGGAGCAAACCAATTGTAACTAAAAAAACTAAGATCGATGCCAAAAAATAAAATAAAATAGAAAGAAAAAAATCCAGTACTGGCGCCGCCATTTTGTAGTTTTTTTCCTTGAAGCCTACACTATAATGCGAGTCAAAAAAACTACACGACCCAAAAACCAACAGTGCTTCCGCTCAAAAACAACAAGAATGGGAGTGGTGCAGGAGCGGGAGTCATTCTGAATGGGAGCGGGATGGGAGTGGGGGTAATTTCCCCAGGAGTGGGACGGGACAGGATTTAGATTTCTACTCTGGTCCGGGATCGGGACGGGACACAATTTTTTTCTGTGGGAGTGGGACGGGACAGGAGTGAAAATCCACTCCTGTGTCAGTCTCTACTCTGCACAGCCCTTTAGGACTTTGGGGCTGACACCATCAGGACCCGGTGACTGACAGGTGAAAGGGGCTGAGGAGGTGTGGTAAAGGCAGCAACATCATCTTAAGATGACATATGGTGCATTTTAGTTTCACAAGAATCTTTTGTCCATGATCCATATTGAAGTATGCAGGATGTTTTAAGATTCAAATATTGAATTTATGAACCCTGAATAAAGCAATAGACATTGACCAGGTAGTAATAGATAAAACCAGATGGAAAACAGCATGACAACAGGTACACTTTGTTCAGGAGTTTAGAATGGCTGCCCACTTACAAAGGGCAAGGAGTGCTTGGCCGGGATATTTCAACACAAAGGGATAGAAAGCAGCAGGAACCGTAAGCAATGCCTGGGTAGGTAAGTTCTAGAACACAATCATATAAGAAACAAGAACAAAATAATTTGCCTTGGCCGGCATAACACCGGATATAACATTATTGGACAACAAGAACAGGCACACTTCATTAAAAATGTGCATAAATGGACTTTCGGTAAAAACAGCACTTAAGAAAGACCCTTGAAAAGAAGTGACAGCAAACTGTTCATAAGAGAGGAGCCATTGAAGCTGAAGTTGAGTGACCCATCAAATGGAAAAAAAAACATTAAGGAAGAGAGAAAAAGGACCATTAAACTGCTGAAGGGTAAGAAGGGTGTCTGATAACATCAACAAAGCTGACATAGATGATGATTTACTCTCAGTTTGAAATGATATTGAAAAAGCAACAAGCATCACCAGCCTGGAAAGACAGCTGCTTCAAAAAGGTGTCCAGTAATTGGCAGATTAACAGCTGTGATAAGTAGAGGATGGGTTGTGTTTGCATCTGTTAGGATCTTTTACACAGTAATCTTGGTTTGGCTGAAATCCAAAATAGACTCATAGAGTCATGAGATCAAACTTCAGCACCTCACTTCAAAGCAGAGAAATACTTATAGTCCCCCACGCCTTTATTCTTCTCTTCCTTCTTCTTCTACTTGCACATACTTGACAGCACCAACGAAAACATTTGACTTTGACCTATTAGCAATATCAAACTTTACTAGGATGCATTAACCTGACAAAAACTAAAAGTCTTAGTTCAATTCAATTCAGTTTATTTATACAGTATAGCGCCAAAAACATAATCTCAAAGCCCTTTACAGATCATTAACCAGATCATTCAGTCAGATTGGTTCAAAGGTTTCTAATGAAAACCTTCTGATCGCATCGACTCATCGACTCGACAGCAATCCCTCAAGCCTGTTTGTACTAACAGCCAGCTCCCATGTCAGAGGATGAAAGAGAGCACATTCAGTCACAGTCAGAGAAACAGGCAAAGCTATCTGTAAAAAAAAATAAAAATTGATGGCAGTAGCAGAGCTGAAATTTCTCTCGGGGATGTTGTCCCAGACAAACAGGAACAGACCAGATGAAGCTACCATGACAAGAAAAAGCAGAGCAAACATAAAATTTTGGGTCGAAATTGAATATATTAAAATTTAATATTAATT